TCAAATAGGTAGATTTTTAAAACTTCTTTTTTTACAGGTGTGTGAAATGACATTCTTCAAAATGATGTCAGGTGAACCAGTGTGGATAACTCCATTTAACCAGGACAGTGGTAAACGTTCACACTATCGTCTATGGAAAATCATTTGGTTATGCGGTCCCTATGCTTGTAAAGATATGACGTAACGGTAAAATTGGGAGTTTGAAATAACCTCGTCTCAGTAGTTTCAGGAGATCTATCTATAGCGGGGACATTATTCATGACTGACAGGAAATGGACGCTACACTTCCTTTTTAAGACATAAATAAAGTGATGCCCATTCATACCACGAGCATTCAAGCTCTCAAAATGGTACATGCTGTTACATTAACAACAATGAAATAATTCTGTTTACATAATAAAATGCAGTCACATGATTTCGTCTTGACGTATAAAAGCTCGATTTTACAATATCTAATGGTTTGGTGTAGTGGGCTAAACCGGTAGGTCTTAATTATACACGAGTATCGACGTTTTCGTCTTCGATGGTTCGAGTCCTGCAAGCATCACTCTTTTTTCTCAAACAATATCTTTTTGTGCGGCTCATTTTGATATTGTACAAAGTGATCATTAGCTGTCAAACGTTTTTAATTTTAATATAGGCATCTTATATGTAACATAAGGAAAAATGCTAAGTTACATTTGACTAATGCCCGGAATTGTATTTGCCAAAGAATACCATAGCGTAGGGGAGATAACACTTACGTTCACCAGACGGATGTAAGGAAGATGTTTCATCAAAACATAATTAACTTAAGATTCTAAAGAAATCTCAGGTTATTTACTAAAATAAAGCTGTGATTTCTTCAACTTAATAATGTATTTGGATCGTTTCAATTGGCTAATGCACGGAATTGTATTTGACGTAAAGCACGAGATATGCAAATGAGTCTACACCAAAGTTTCCGATTTCCCAAATTTCTTTATAGGAAAGTGTGTTAGAGGGAGTACGGGGGGCTAAAACAAGTGGCAGAACAAATAATTTAAACCCCACTATGTCCAAATGTTACGTCATATCCAAATCAGTAATTATAATATATTTAAATTAGATTTTACCTCTTTTTTCACAACGTCAGGAATATAAGTGCGAGTAAACAATTCATACATTAAGGGTTTTCATACGCCGACCTCCCTTCTTTTTCAACAGTTTGTTAGATTTACTTGGATTTCCAACATTTAACTCCTGGCATCGCTGATGGGTCCTAGAAGGACAAAATAACTGTATATAAGCAGTGTATTTCCTGTTTGGGACACTTTATCTATTACTAAATTTTAAAGATACAGAATGTGTTGGGAAATTAAGTTTTAGGGGGATAAAGGGAGGGTATTGTTCTTCCAACTAGTTATGTGTAGGAACGAACAAAAGAACGGGGCCGGGGAAAGTCTTCTAAAGCACGTGATTTTATCTCTATCAGTAACAAGAGGCCCAATGGGCCTGCATCGCTCACCTGGTATAAATCTAACACTTGTAACCTTAAAAGTGATCTAAAATAAAGCTACAGGCAAAATATCAGTATTTTTGATTAAAATTAATTCAAAATACCGTTATTTTTTTAAACATTTCACCCCTGTGATTGAAAGTCGAACAAATTTTATACCCTTTCATCTCAGGATGCAACTTGCAAAGTATCAACATCCTGGGACCCATGGTTATTCAGAAGAGGTCGTTTAAAGATTTTTAACAAATTTGACCCCTGTGACCTTGCATATGGGTGAAGGTCATTCATTTGAACAAACTTTGTAGCCCTTCATCTCAGCATGATAAATGATAAATATCAACATCCTGAGCCTTTTGGTTATTCAGAAGAAGTTGTTTAAATATTTTGGACATGTTTGCTTCTTGTGACCTTGAATATGATTCAAGGTCATACATTTAAACAAACTTGGTAGCCCTTGATCCTAGTATGCTACTGACTAAATATCATCACCCTGGGCATTTTGGTTATTCAGAAGAAGTTGTTTAAAGTTTTTAAAACAATTGACCCCTGTGACCTTGAATATAATTGAAGGTCATTCATTTGAACAAATTTGGTAGCCCTTCACCCAAGCATGCTACTGGCCAAATATCAACTACTTGGGCAGTTTGGTTATCGAGAAGAAGATGTTTAAAGTTTTTAACATATTTAACCCCTGTGACCTTGAAAATGGGTGAAGGTCATTCATTTGAACAAACTTTGTAGCCCTTCATCTCAGCATG